ACCCGGGGAGCCACACCGAGCACATCGAGTGCTTCCCTGAAAGTTCCGACAGCCAAAGGCCACCAAAGTCGTGCCTCGGCTCACTTCGCGGCCGCTGGCAGCGCAAAGATCCCGCTCCAGATCCCGCGATCCCCGGCCCCGCTCACCCGCGTGCGACATGGACGCCGTGAGGTTCCCGTAGCGCTCCTCGTTGTAGAGGACCACAGCCGAGGCGTTCTTCCGCGCCGCCACCAACACCTTGTCCTTGAAGGTGCAGCCCCCGCGCGCCACCAGGGCGACCCAGGGCGCGGACCCCCGGCAGCCGGGCACTACGAAGCTCGTGTCGGGCGCGCAGCCCTCGGGGTCTCCGTCGGGCGCGCGGGGGACCCCGACCAGGCCCTGCACACCCTCCTTGGGCGAGCTGTCGCCGAAGCGGCCGCTCTCCGAGACGCTCCACACCGTCAGGTTCGTCTTCGGGGCCACGTACTCGGTGCCCACCACGGCCGAGTACCACTCGAGCGCCCGGCCCCGGGCCCCGGGCGTGCACAGGGCCAGGGCTAGCAGCGCCAGCGCGCCGTGAGCCCCGACGCCGGCTTTGGGCCGCCGCTGCCACGCCATGGCCTCACAGCCAGGCTGACGAGAAGGGATGGGGGCAGGGGTCGCGGGGCAGGCGACCCCGAGGGACCGCGCGTGCTAGGCCGCTGAAGAGCGCAGAGACACCAACGCCCGCCAATCGCCGCGGATTCCTGCCCCAGTGAGACCAGGCGGGGGGCGGGGCCACGACGCAAGCGCACCTGGCGGCGCGGAGAGGGCGAGGCGGCGGGAGGCGGGGTCGGCCCTGGCCCCGCCCTGCGACACTCGCGGATGCGCGCGCAGGCGTGACACTGGGTGCCGCCGAGTGTCTGGCCCTGGGCGGTCCCGGGGCCCTCAGGAACCTGTGGGCAGAGGCGAGGGCTTGCGCCAGCCCGGAACCCCTGGGGCAGGGGAGAGCCTACGCAGTGGGACGTCTAGCACCCCTGAAGCCAAAGCAAGTAACCTACGGAGAAACGGGAAGCTTCCCTAGGGGCGGGGGGGAGGCGGGCATGGGACCGCCATTGTGAAATCGCTCAACAGAAGTTTGTGACGTTTCTGTGCAAAGGCACATGGCAAAGGCCTTGCTTTCTAAACCATTTCACACGCTTTTTGGCTGTGCGCTGTAGCTCAGGCCTGTAATCCCAGCACTCTAGGAGCCCGCGGTGGCGTGAGGATCGCTGAGGCCAGGAGTTGGAGACCAGCCCGAGCAACATAGGGAGACCCGTCTCTACCAAAAAAACAGAAAAAAAATTAGCTGGGAGTGGTGGTGTGCGTCTGTAGCCTCAGCTACAGGAGAGGCTGAGGCAGCAGGATTCTTTGAGCCTGGGAGCTTGAGGTTGCTGTGAGCTATGACGGTGCCACCGCACTCCATCCAGCCTAGGCGATAGAGCTAGATATGGTCACACAAAAAACCCACAAAACATTCTGTAAAAAAAAAAAAAAAATCCAAAGCTAAAGCACATTTTGCCCAGTTGTGTTTTGTTAACAATTTTTTAATGCTAATTGATTTCTTATCGCTTCTCTCAAGTATTCACAACGACCCTTATTGTTGTGGTATTTCATGTATAATCTGTAATTTTGAAATAAGTGCATCCAACTACCTATTTAAAGGAACACTTAAATTGTACATAATAAAAGGGGAAAGGATTTGTTTGGCAATATTAATAAATGCTAGGTGACATAGAGTCTGTATAAACTTGCGTTGTGTGAAAAGCCTGCTGCTGACGGTAAAGAAGTTGATAACATTGGTTTTTGACTGACTCATCTTCCTGCTTTCTTCAGGGTTTGTAATTGTAGGAAGTAGCCGTTGCCGCTGACATCACATGTTTTTGTTGGGCTTTAAACTCCTCAGTTTCCTCTTTGTTATAAATCTTTCTTGGACTGCCTCTGTGCTCCAAAATGCAGCCTGAGTCACAACTTGTAAGTTTTCCTTGAAGTTGGAAAGGGTCCCAGGCAAGGCTTTCTCCTTGTCACAGACCTAGAACAAGGGAGGTAAACTATGGTGATCTATGCAGGCTGGGCACAGATCCTAGGAAACCACCCCTCCCACATTCTAGCAAAAAAAAACGAACTGTACTTCCCAAAATGTGTCTTTGCAGTTTCATCCTATGTGTTGCAAACTCATTTGCTTCTTCCTCAAATGACCTCTTGCTCCTGGTTCTTGTCCTGGCAAACACCAAATTAGTCTTCAAGTTTTAACTCAAAAGCAGTTTCTTCTGTGAAAACCTGCCCTGGTTAACTAGAGGCAAACTTAGGTGCTCCTCCAATTTTTCACGTGCCTTGTGTATGTTATGCTTGCACATTAACACTGTACCAGCAATACTGCTTCCCAAATACAGTTTTTGGCCTTTTTTTTAATGTTGTGAGCTTCTCAAGGGCCAGGATTGTGTCTTGACTCTTTTCAGGAGCCTATCTCAACTAGCACAGTGTTGTGCGTGTAATCAATGTTTGTAAAATGAGCAGAATGGCTCTTTTTTTGTTATTCCAGAGTTCAGGACTCATGATTGGCTACAGGCTTGTTGCTCAGGGTAAAAGGAACAGGCTAAAAGGAACAGGCCTTGCAGGTGTTGAGCCCTTAGGCCCAGCACAGCTTCTTGGTCTTTATTTTTTAATTACCAGCTCTGCCTCAGCTGCTTTTTTCCCTGATCCAAAGCTACCACTGCTAGCTCTAACCTTCAGGACCTTCTTTCCCTATACAGGCCACTCAGTCTTTTTAATTTCCCGCCCCTACTGCCCCAGAAGAAAACATAACAAGCCTTACTCCTTACTCTTTGAGGGAGTGGGAGGAAAAGGAGGATGTCATTATCCTTTCTTTCATTTTATTATTGAAAATTTCAAACATTTCTGAAAGTAGAGAGACTGGTATAATGAAGCTTTATGCACTCATAACTTAGGTTCAACAATGATCAACTCATGGCTGATTTGATTTCAAGTATACTCCCAGCCACTTCCTCTCTCTCGCAATGGCTTATGTTGAAGGTGTGAAATGAAATAATTCAAATTTAAAGCTGTTGGAC